TCGTTAAAAATTGAAAGTTTTCCTTCTAAATTTGATGCTATAGAATCAATGAAAAAACCTTGCAGGCTTACAAAAAAAAATAGTGTAATTACGTCGTTGCTTACACAGCAGCAAAAGTGAAGAAAACTCGACCCAACTCCCTTTTCATGCGGTTCGTTCGTGTTNTCGCTCAGATTGACCAGCTTAAAAGCCTTGGGGGGCGGGGGGGGACTCGGACCAGTTTCGGCTCATTCGCTACAAACTCCGCGATTTCGGTTGCTTCCCAAGAGGTGGGACGTGGAGGAGATGAAAGCCAAACTCGCAAGTAATTACACGCGAAAATTAATGCTGCCATGATCATAACATGTTATACATTATACCCTCAAGAGCTGATGAATGGCCTCGCCTTTGCGCGTATGCCGTACTCCCCGCCTTATATGACTACACGCGTTTGATCACCTCGAAGGGGCTCGGCATAATTGCATTACAGGCAATTCGTTGGGTCTTTGTTGCATTAACAAGTAAACTGTAAACATTCGATGTGAGTATACCATGGTTAATATATATATATATACATGGATAACCAAGTGAAAATTCGAGTGAATAAGGTTTTATACAGGCATACTGCGCAACCGATATTTTGATACGTGAGTTGAGTGGTTGACATGAAGTGTAATATCGAGCATTGCAATTACCTACGGTCAAAGTGATTTAATACGCAAGTTATTTCTTTTTCTCCTTCAGAGCTAAGTGGTGCTTCATCAGTAGAAAAAGTCGCGTACAGATATCTCGTGGGCTGATGTTATCTTGAATTTTGAGATCTAAATATCTTTTTTAGAGAAAAACATCGTTTTCAATAAATACCAACGATTCGATAACAAGTTTTATGCTCTTTGTGGGATATGAAAAGCGTTGCCATCGTCTAAAAATTCGACCCTATTATTCGAAGTAATCGCCCGATAAAAGAGCAATTCAAGTTCATAAACTTTACATAGTTGGCAAACTTAGGAAATATCTACATGCACATATGAAGTAACTATGTTTTTCTCTCTCAATAGCCAAGGAACCTTATGTATTTTCTCAAACTTTTATCAGTGACTCTTATCGATTCTCCTTTCGACGCACCGTTTTTTTATTTATTATGTTGATGGCAATTCCAACCACAGTCCACTTTACCTTATTATCCTCAAATCCACGAATGAGCTCTTCAGTTTTATTGATATGAAACTTGGGCATTTGAGCCGTAACGACGGCACATTTTGGGTACAGATAAAACAGATACGCATAATGAAATAATAAAATTTCTAGTACATTATTTCGTTATATTGGTTAAAAAATGTTATCATAATACATAAACTTTCAATCCAAGTTTGTTGTCCAAACTTAAAAAAAAAAATTGTAGCAATATAATTAAGTATTGTATAATCGTTAAAAATCAATATATTCTCAACTATTTAACCAGATCACACAAATAATACAATTTTTACATTAAAAATCGAGACAGAAAAGATGTAAGACGTAAGACAAATTAAACATACTTTACAATTGTAAACTCTGAGCAAAGTAAATACAATACTTTGTTGTTTCCATTCATGGGATTGTAAGTATAGTGACGATACTTTTTTTCAACTAGTTTTGACAAAAAGATAAGCACGCATTTATTTTTAATACACTGTGTTTAAAACTTTTACAATGGAAAAGAGCCGCAATGACTAAAATAATACTACACAGCTAGGAGGGAAAGTCATCACATTTCAATGTGACGTACAGCAGAGAGCCAAGAAGTATTTGCTGCCCGTCGAAATACATTGCAAAATTATAACTAGGGAAAAGAAAGAGGAGGTCGGGGATTATTTGAATCCCAAATAAAAATGGCTTTCCTTATGGATTCAGATCGACTTCCCAACTGCAGGCAGTGCCAACATTCAAAAATATTGAATTTAACTAAAGTCCCAGATTCTTCCTCTCTTTCAGTCACTGGCTGCTTACTCGCGTCTCCCGATTTCGCTCGATTTTTCCTTAGTAATCTTTGAAATTTCCCGTGTAAATCAATCCAAACTTTTCCTCCACTGTTTCCTCTTACTTTACTGGTAGCAACCGATTACTCTGTATCCTCTTTTCCTCATCCTTCTCCGTGTACGTGGTAGTTGTCGCTCCTGAATAAATTATTCAGACTTTCGTATTCATTTGACTGCTGCTGGGTTTCTGTTTTCCACTCTACTCTCCTATAGTCCACACCACTCGAAAGCAAGCTAGGGAAGAGACAAGGATTCCTGGTCTTTATCCTTTAATTTTCCGTCCTCGCTTTGGCTGTGATGAATAAAATATGTCCAGTTTAGAGAGGACCAGCGAAAGAGAAAACAAAGCTTTGGCGAGTGACATTAAAACGGTACTGGCGTCCAATCAATCTATGGTAAGCAAGTGGAGTTTATTATATTAATTTTATTGTTTGACGTGTCATGGACAAGAGCGAGAAACAGTGGAACACAATGGGATCCATCCCGCGCACACGTGACTCTTCATTACATCCCCAGTCCCTTTCCCCTCCCACTTTTAAATAATCCCCGACTTTCAGGCATCAAATAGCCGCGGAACAGCCTTTGTCTCCCGTTTAAGCAGCAGTTGTTCGCTGCACCACAATGCCCCTGCCACACATCCTTTTTTTCCACTTCCTCTTTCGCCCCGACCGGCACATCAATAAATTAAGTGGTGGTCCACCTTGTGACTCTTGCTTTCACATCCTCCTCTCCTCCCTCGGCTCGTCCCTTTGCCCCGATGGTACGCATAGATGGAGGAAAGCAGACGCGACTGGGGTAACAGAGGGACCATCAACCCCTTGCCTTTGTCTCTCCTCAAACTGTCTCTTGAGGTTCGTAAAAAGCGCGTACAGGAAGGGAAAGGAAGAAAAAGCCGGGGCCAATTAGGCTGGCAATTACTTTAATAACCAGCAGATTAATTAATATGCCTCGGAGCTGCCTATCGACTTTGTAGCTGTAACAGCTCGTCTGCTTCTACTTATGCTGTGTTGCAGTGGCTGGTGTGGTACTGGTGGGGCCATATTGTGATAAGACCCAAGGGGGAGAGCTGCCGTTGGGGTGCCCATAGTCTACGGGGCTGGGGAGGATGACAATGGATAGTCTTGAGGAGATAATTGGCATTATATAGCACGACTGATCGAGACAACCGGTCCGTCGAGGATAAACTGCTGGGCAGAGAAATCCGTTCGGCTCCGTCGAGTAAAGTCGTGCCTTTCTGTTCGTCGCTCAACTACGCTGCCCATGAATTTAGCAAGTTTTCCATGTTATTTGTTGTTACACTCGCTGAGATGGATGAAAAAAGGAGTAGAGAAGAGGAGTTGATTTTTTTAAAAAAGATGATCAAACGACTAGTGATTAAAATTGACTAGTTTTTATTTTTTAAGTTTTTTTCAACAATAAAAACAGCAAATTGAATTAAAAATCAGTTAAAGAAAAAAATAATTATTACTTCCTCGCATGCGTAATTGAACCACTTTAAGTCACATACAGTCTTTATTAATACATGTACTATACGGTCGCGTTGCTGCAGCTAATACTGTAAAATTTATGACTCAGGGTGTATGCCAAGTGGTGTAACAGTACCGTAATGACAAACGGGAGAACTACGGTGGTATGCACGCAAATGGTGTAGTTGAAGCACAATCTATTGTAATAAAGGAACTAAAGCATCTTTCAGTTGCAAATAGTGGCAGAAAATGGTATACTTTACCCTTGGAGTCACATTATTTCAGTACAAAAGCGAAATTTGACGCTCGGCGTAAGATCCCTTCTTTTTCTTCTTCTTCTTCTTCTTCTTCATCTTCTCCGCCAAATTAATGTGAATTGGTCAAACGAAGCAACTGCGGAGTCAAGACGTCGAATCAAGAATATCTCTCTTGCCGCAGCCACTGTTTGTACTTTTGTCTCTAGATCACTCTTATTCGCGTAGAAACGGCACTAATAACAATAACAATCAGACGGTCCTTTGGGATTCCTCGCAAAGACGGAGGGAGAAAAAAATTGTGGCCGTTGCAGCTCCACTCCGAAACGCTTACATAGGCTGTAAACACATAAAGCCACTCATTTCTACGCATTTCATTCGATGTACATGTATGTGGTGTTAGCTAACAAGCAAATGTGGGACAATTGGCTCCAATTGGGTCCTATGAGGCTTCGGAGGCGCGTACACGCATCTCCGTCAAATCTCATTTCTTCGTCTATGGAGCGGCTTCTTTTCGTTCGACTCCTTTTTTCCCTCCATCCATGTCGTGACTGTTTTGTACTTCTTTTTCTCATTCCGCCAAATTAGGATCAAGAAGAGAAAAATAACGCGAATGGAATGGTGAGCTCGTGACAAGTTACGCGAGTCTCCGTCGCCGCAACGCGTTGTACGTGACTTTACTCGTTAGCGGTTTATGTCGTCGGGGATCAGCGGGATAAGCTCGTCGTCGTCACTGCTATCGTGGATTAAGCCGGATGCGGAGAAATCCCAGATAAAAAAATGCCGTGGAATACCAAACGATTTCCACAGGATTTATTTAAGCAGGATGGGCCGTTTTTATACGCAACTGAGATCTGACTGCATAAGTTTCATAAAAAATGCATTTATTTGTTTGACGTTAGGAAATAGTTTTCTTGAGCAAATTTAAGAAGAATATTAATTTGACTCTAATCACTAAATCCGTAAGTTTTAAACACTTATAGTGGGGGAAGAAAAAAATGTGATATTGTTTCGTACAGCCAAAGTACAAGTTGTAAGAAAAAAATAACGGGTGACTCGTTAATTAACTTTACACCAACAGCTCATCCAAAAGTGAAGCTACATCGTAGGTATAGCATATAAATGCGTTAAAATTGAAATAGTGAAAAAAAACGTCCACACAAGTAACTGCATAAAATGATTTTTAAACTTACTTATTGCCCTTACCAATTTCATTTCTAATTCGACTGAATTTAATTTTGAGATGGATTTAAATAAGAAAAAAATGTTTCCTGTGCTTGCAGGCCACGGCAGCATCACCGGGGGCAAGCGGCTAGTGCGGAGACTTGTTGCGCCGGCCATAGTGGACCCAAGGGCGGAAAAGGTCACGCTGAGCTGCGAGTACGACCTTCACGGGCAGCAGCTGTACTCGATAAGCTGGTACAGGAACGACAACGCGTTGTTCAAGTACTCGCCCAGCCTCGACCACTTGAGGGGCCAGTTTTTCGAGCAGCCCGACGAGCCCGACGTCAGGGTCAGTCCCGAGATGAGCAACAGCCGGCAGCTCGTGCTCCTCGGCAACGGGGACTTTCGCAAAAGTACGTGCCTTTTTTTCCCTCCATTTGCTGGGCCATTTTTTTGGCTTTGCCAGTTGATGACACTTTTTTTTTTTTTCATTGACTCGCTGATAGCGGTAAGCACACGTGTGTTTTTCTGTTGGCAGACAAACGAGCCTACGAGGGCACGTACCTGTGCGAGGTGGCCACGGAGGAGCCCTTTTTCTCGGACTACGCGGTCGCGAACGTCACCACGGCCATTTTGCCGAAGAGCAGCCCCGTCATCGACGGCCTCGCCCCCAACTACAACGTGGGGGAGCAGCTCGACGCTTCCTGCCTCGCGGCCCCGAGTCTGCCTCCGGCGGATCTCGTCTTCTACATCAACGGGCGCAAGGTAACACGTACACCTCATGAGTACAGGTGCACGATGTACAATGTAATGACGAAGCACAAACGATTTGCTCAATGTCTGGTTGAAAAAGGACCGAGTGATTACTAAATCCTATCCTAAGTAAAATCACTTCTCATCGCGTGCAATAAATGTCGACCAGATTACATGCATGAAAGAGAAAAAAGTTGAGGATGAGAGTTTGTAGACGATTACTATAATCAAGTAAAACACACTACGTCCAGTATCCAATATCTTTCAGCGAACTCGACGTTATGTCCCAACTACACCAGGACACGCACCCCCGCACTTTTTCATCGACCCCTTTAATCCACCCCAACTTTTTACCGCAAACCCCAATCGCTTCCGACATCACACCACACCCAAAGGATCGACTATACCCACAGAGTAGCAATATATATATATATATATATATATATAT